AACAGAGACAACTCCAGGACTGTGGCCAGCCATTTCAAAAAATAAATGGATCCTCCCCCCCGGCTCTTTGGAGAATAAGATGAGATTATATCTTTGCTTACAGATGGGAAATTCATAGGCAGGACTGCAACTTAAGCTAGCTAGTGGTACTTGAGGTTTGTAAAGGGCTTATTCTGGTCTTCTAGCCCACCCCTAAGCTAGCAATACCTGAATATCACTAGGAATGGTTAGGATGAAAAGCTACGGTCTCCAGGGTGTCTGAAGCTCGAACAGAGTTTGAGCAGATTTTATAGTTGATTTCTAATAGCATAAAAAATAACATCCTTCTGGATGCTGTAATTTCCCAGACAGGTAATAACGAGCTAGCCTGGGATCACGGCTAACATTGTTATGACTGCCTTAATATATGCATCTCTTTCTGAATGTATCTCACTGTCTCTGCTCCAGCAAGGATAGCCACAAGCACAGAGTAGCATCAGCAGTGCAATCTTTTAAATATTCAGCTTATTTTTCTGACAGTTCATATTTTTTCACCCTTCCAGTTCTTATTTCCAGAGCAAATATTTTCTCAATACAAGGATGCCTCTGCCTCCTTAGCCCTGTCCCCTCTTCCCTCTCTTACCTTTCTTCTTGGAAAACTGTTTGCTTTTTAACACCTAGAGAAACTGCAGAAAACTGGTAGCTCAGTCTAGGTAAATAGTCCTGCTTTAGAAGCTTGGCTTCCTTTTTGCCACTGACCAGGCTACTGGAAGGACTGTTTTTCTGCTGAAAACCCAAAGTACTGCCAACACAACAGCCTGGCCTAACAGGAGACAGCAGGTACTACTGACGATGGCTGAAAGAACTTGAAACATTCAAGGAGAGCAACCATGCTGCAACGATCTGCAGAAAAAAAGACCAGTTCCTAGGCAAACAGGCAATTCCCCCCGCCCCCCCCAAGACCTTAGGAGAAGATACCAAAGGGAAGAAAGGGGGGAACAGAAGAGATCTTGATATTAACTCTCCCCAGCTACTTGCTTCTTTCAGACTCTAGAAAAATTCCCTTTTCATGAAAAATGTTCAGTTGCTCAAATCCAGAAATAAAAATTGTGCAATGTTATAGTCAGAACTGATTTCCAAGTGTCTTGTCCTTGCTATTGCAAGAGAAAAAGGTCTGTTCTGCAAAGAACAGGTCACCAACCCTTTGTAACTAGCCGTGTATTTTTCTTATTCATTGAACTTACATGTGCAAAAAGTTTGTCTGGTGAAAATGCAAGATGCTGGTTACTTTTTCAGGCAAAGCCTCCCTGGCTCATATAGTTTCTTCTCCCTCCAAAAAATCCCAGCCCTCTGTCTTGGAATTCAAGCTGTTTCATACATGCCTTGATGTGTAAGTTCTCCATCTTTTAACTGGAGCAGGTCAAACAGATCCCTGACAAAGAGCCCTGGAATTCTGAAGCAATCTGCTTTGTTTTAAGTAGCACCAAAGTGAAATCAAGTTTACAGGAGATGTTCCAGAAGTTTCAGTAAACCTGCAAACTTAGGTGGAAATAAAGTTCACATGACCTTACTTGGCTTTGTCTCCAACCTGGGCAAAATGCAGCAATCAGTCACACATGAGAGTCCCTTGCAGCTTACAATTAGCCATCAAAGTGGTTCAAACACAGAAGTTTAAGTACAGTTTTGCCCAGCTTTCTGAGGACTGTAACTAACTAGTTTCTCTGAAAATAATGAGGTGAAATGTTGTACAGTTTCTCTCTTGATAAAGGTCATTCATTTGCACTGTAATGAGACACAAACACACACACACAAAGTCTGTAAAACATGCTGGGAGCCTGCCAGCGTTAATTTAACCCAGCTAAACCACATCATTGGCTACATGAGCACTTGGCAACGGAGAGAGGCCACGAGTTGGAAACACAGAGTTTGTGTCAGGGCAGATAATACAACAATAGGCAGGAAAGGACTGGCTTTGCTTCTCTTCAGTCGCTTGTTAGCAGGGACTGGAGTAGAAGCTGGAGGACCAGGATGGTCAGAGACAGTTGGCAAGGAAAGGCATTAACTGAAGCAAGTGCAGCGAAGGCAAGAGAAGCCGCTGGGCAGGAGAGAGGTGGGCACGTGTTTTGGGAGAAGTACAGAGATGGGAGAAATGTGGGAAGGGAACAGGCTGGGGAGGGATGCATGGCAGAGTGGGAGAAAAAATACCAAGGGGGTGGAGAGAGAAGAAAAAGCAACTTGAAATCAGGTGTCCCATTTTCTCCCATTCATCGCTGGCGTCTGCCTGGACAACAGCTTATGCTAGAGATCCAAGGCAAGAAGGGGCAGAGCACAGGCTCAAAGGAGACGGCAGAGGCTGGCAACATTGCTAGACATCTCGTGGTGAGCTGGATCTTCCCCTCCCTGAGCTCTGAGAGCAGGGACAGCACAGGGTAACACACAGTGCCCTTCAACAGTGCGTTTCAGTCCCCCCCCCCAAAGCATGTGCTTCTCCTGTACTCTGGCTAAAGTAGGTTAAAGCTGTAGCCTAGACCTTCAGCAACAAAAATTAACTCCACTGAAGGCCGTGGGTCCGCGCCAGCTTTGTGAACTAACATGAAATCTAGCCCCACGATTCTAGGCAGAGGCACAACGGGAATTAGGGTATTTGCACCGAGATTTTTCCTTTAAGCATGGATTTGAGGAGTCTAAGATCCCAACCGCTTACTGAAATTGGGCTTGGGAGGCTCAGAGCACCAGCAGAGCCTCATCAGGACATATCTCCAGGCACCACCACTCCTTGCTGCAGGGGCTGATCACACTGGCTGGATTTTAGGTCTTCAATAAGACAAAGACATCCTTTTCTTTCTGTAACAAGTTGCCATGTCCTCACCATGGCCTCTTCTAATAGATGCTTTCCTAAGAAAGCCTTCCTAACAAAGCCCTAACATTTCAAATGTTTTCTAGGAGTTGTTAAAATATCAAAATGACATTCCTTATAGAACAGCTCCCGATTATTTCATTCTTTAAAAACAAAAAATATATCAGTAACTCAAAAAGAACAATTTTTTTCTTGTGTATTCTACCGCTCAATAAAATCATAACTATTTGTTGACGATAAACATGCTTTATGTGTTTTTTCCAGTCACATCCAGAGTCACTGCAGTGCTCGAAGAATCTGTTTCCTCTCGGAGCACCTGCAGTACAAACCCACTAGCAGGTAGCATGGAGAAGCCAACTAAGCTAGGTAGGACATTTCTAGGGCATGAATGTCACCATCCAGGTCTGGCTCTGAGATCAAGAATATATGTTCAAATTCAGAATTCTTAAAGGGTCAGGGTAGGATTTGGCATAAGGGGTGATTCAAGTCTGAATTTCAACTTTAGTCTTGTAATTGCTGTTCTTATCGGTTCAAAATCAGATCCCAGACCACAGACTATAAGAACACTGTGGAAGCAAACTCTAGAAAAGGATTTGGGATCAGACTTATGGCTTCCCTTGTGTTTTTTTTATAGAGGAGCTGTTAGCTAGTGATTGTGGAAAGTCCTTTTTCCACTTCACAGGGTGAAATTAGTGAAATTACTTTTATAACATTGACTTTTATAGCATGGATAGATTTCTTTATCAGCCTTCACACAGCCCAGGAACAAAGGCACTGCTTATCCTCATCTTGGGAACGAGCACCAAAGAAAAGATCTTCCTGTAAAAAGACTCACCCGGCCATTCAAACTCAGTCTCCAGGCCATTCAGGGAGGCAACTGAGAACAAAACCAATGTGAAAACTTCCATAGAAACTTCTTACAATTTGTCTAAACCTCAATTTTCAGCGCATTCATGGCTCATCCAGAGGTATGGTAAGCAGCTTGCAGCAGCTTTTCTAACTGGCATGATCCAATGCCTTGGTGGGCTGTAGGTCAAGACCATCAGTGGGCTGTAGGTCAGTCCAGAGGCTTTAACAGAACCATGAGACTGTTTCTTCTTGCAAATAAACCTATTTGAACCATAGAGAGAGAAGCACACAAACCCAGACGGAGGCTGTGATTAGGAAGGGCAAAGACTGTCCTAGGTCAGGTGACAAAATGATAGTCGGGAAAGGCCAGTCTATCTGTTACCTTAAATCAATACTACAGTTTTCCAGAGTACACATTAATTGCTTCATAGGTAAACTCATTCTGCACAGAAAGCACTCTATGAGAAGTCATAGAACTCAGAACAGAAAATGACCCTACCTTGCCCCATTATTAGGACTTTTATTTGATCCTAGAATAAACACATTCCCCTAATACAAACACAGAGAGGTCTTACACAAAAATAAACCGTTACAAATTGATATATCACCTGGCTTTCTTCCCTGGGAGAGCACGACTGTTCCCAGAACCTCTCAGCATCTCAACGCAATATGGCTTGAAGGGGACCAAAGACCTGATGGTTCCGAGTTCGCATACTGGATTAAGATGCCTACACTCCAGCCACATCTCACAGCCATACTAAAACCCTCGCTGCTTTTACATGGGGCTTGTACCTCTGCTGAGAATCCACAGGCATTAGCTGAAATGCACTAAGCTAGCCAGTTTTCCAAGTTTTGTCTTCCACAAGCTTAGGCTCTGCTTATCAAAAGTTCAGCTCATCCTTCAGCTGGGAACCTGGGAAACATACTGGCCCTGTGAACCCAGTTGTACAAGTGGCTGGCTGGGTTTCTTTTTTTTTTATTTATTTTATTTATCTGACTTTAAGTGTGAGTAAATTGTGACAGACTAAAGTTTCCATGGGCTATTTGAAATTAAGTCTTTTCAGTTCCTTCCCTCCCTTGAAATTAGCACATAGATGGTAAGGAATCTAAGGCATGAAATCAACATAAAATGCACCTAGTATTCTTACGTTAAATACTCATATGCCAGGCATTGAGCTCATCAGTTCCAACTCTATTTTAAGTTACTTAATGGCCTGAAAAATAGAGATTTATGATTGGCAAGATCTATAAAGAAGCCTTCGTCCATGAGCAATATTGCTTTAAAAAAAAAAATAAAAAAATCTGTTTTACTTACTCTGCAATGGCCCAATTCCAGATGTATCAGGAAAGTCTGTGTTTCACAACATACTTAGAATGCAGCATCAACACAATAAGAAATGTGTCTGTGGTGCTCATACAATCAGTTTTTACCCAGCTAGTGCAGGCAGGTACATTGTCACATAGTTCCCTCCTTGCAACAGGTTGTTTAAATTCTGTTCAGAAAAGTCAATGACAAGTTCAGCCTCTGAAAAAACTCAATTTTTAGTTCAGCATTTGTGCTGGGGCTATATCATATTATTATACATTTTATTGGGCAGCTTGAAAAATCTGTCTGCATTCCTCAAATATAATATGGAAACATTTCCATACTATGTCCCACTTACACTGTCCCCCTCTCCTAGCTATTTTGCAGTTTCTACAGAACAGGGTATAGGTGACGTTGCTAGCCTCTTGTAAGGCAGATATTTCATTCACATTTCCAGACAGAGAATCATCATTTTTTTGAAAACCATGTTATAAATAGTATTAAGGGAGTAATACTGAATTCCAGAATTCAAAAGCAGGCCAGGAGGTGAATCATTCCCCCATGGCAACCCTAACACTGTCCTGGGACAGATCTATTTAACACAGTATGATTTGCCTTTGCATAGCATGGTGCACAACCCTTCCAGCATCCTAGAAATTTCTCCATTCAAGCACCCTAAGGTCTGAATTGAGATGTCATTCCTGTTCTTCAGGAAGACGTTAAGATCCTTCGTGACCCCAGCCATGTCAGTTGTTTAACAACCTGAAGTCACTTTCTACTGAAAGTGGGTGGTTTTAGAAGCATCACGATCCCCAGCCACCGCAGGAATGCAGTGATTCAGCTAGCGGGAGTCACCAGCTAAGCCAGGAGCAAGACAGACGAGGAACATTTTGCAGAAGTCCAACTCGACCACTAACAGAGAGGAGACATATTGCATCAGCAAGGTGGTAAGAAGCCTCTCAAAAAGGATGATGTTTATGGTGCTGCTCAGCCTCTTGCTGATAAACGAGATAGGGAGGAGGAGATCATTGTGAAAAGGTCTCGTTTGTGTACAGAAGTTATTCTTTCCAAATTTCTCTTGCTGACAGAATTAGGAAAGGTGTGGAGTTTATTTCCCAAACACTGACTAGAAACAACATGAAAACAATTAATCCAATAAGAGCTACAGGATAAGCTCATTTATTTCCCAATTCAGAGTGAGAAATCTATTGAGTCTAGACACAGATACGCTATTGAGGTTGCAGCGTAGGTGATTTCTCTTTTCTACAAAGAAATCTTTTCTGCATGGATTATGGACTGGTCCATGAACTGTCCAAATTCATCTTGTTTCTTTGAGCAACAGGCTATGTACTCAAGCTGAGAATCTGAGTCATATAGAAGGTTTAATTTAAAAACAGTCTTCCATAATCCTGAATAAAGACATGTAGCAGACATCCATTTCTATGTGGGTTTATAGGAAAATACAGTGAGAGTAGTCCAAAAGTTCACAGATCCAGAAAAACAGCTTCAATATATTCACCATATACTTCTCTCTCTCTCCTATAAATATAATGTAAAAGGACCAAAGTTTCAGTCCAATTATTACTATAGCATATCAGTTATAATAGCAAACACATAAAATCTATTTATGAGCAGTGCATTATGAATTTTTTGAAATTATTTTTTTTTATAAAGTCACTCCAGCCCCTCACAGAAGAACATTCAGCCCTGTGCTAAGAACCAGTGTTAGAAATATCCATAAAATTAACTACTGGCAATGGGAACAGAGACGGAAAGCCTGTTGGCAAGCATAACTCAAGGGAAACAACTGCTAAAATGCATTCCAGCAAAAACAAACCACAAACACCCAGCTGTGACGAGCAAGATGAAATGCTGAAAAATCCTCATATCTGAGATCCTTTTCTATGATATGCAGGCCAACTCATGACGTATATGGAAAGTTAAGTTTTTTTCCTAAAATATCCTGGTGCGGGTTTGATGATTATGGACCTGCTAAGCTGACTTTCATAGTAACAAGTGCTGTGTGTAGACAGCTATATAAAATTGAACCATAAGACTAATATGTTCCAACTTTTTAACTCCAGCCAATGTTTTTTGTAGACTCAGTGAGAGAACGGACTCCCTGTCAACCGGGCGTTACATTCAAAGCCTTCTCTAGTTGCCGAACAAGTCCTGGATTACAGCTTTGCTCTGAATCAAGATGCCTTTCCTAGCACCCCAGGGAGACAAGCTGTCCATCAGCGTGCTGCAGAATTAGACAGCATGTGTACTCAGCTCCAAATGTCTGGTGAGAAGCAGAAAGCCCAAGACCAAAACCCAAAACAAACCAGCACGCCAAATTAACTTCTGTTGCACTTCTTGATCAGAATTAGCCAGTCAGTTTGGGAGGAAAGGTTGTTTTTTTTTAGCCTGGGGTTAATTGTGATCAACCAAAAGACAAGGGTATCCAGTCCTCAGGATGCTGACACAGTATCCTGCTACAAATATACCTAGTGCTGATCCTGAGACAAAGACATTATTCTTAGACTGTATCTCTGCTTGGGGACTCTACCCAAGTCAGCGAGCTGTGTTATAAATAAAGGTGCTATCCAACTCCCATGGAGATGGCTTGGTTGCAAATATAAGCTTCACTGGTGTGAATGATGACTCTTTTCTTAAATACCCTGGGGTTTTGTAACAGTGAGAAGGATTCTCATATGGAAGCACCACCCTTGCTTGAAGCATCATTCTTAGCACAGTTAGACAACTATGCAACTGATTGGCCAGGTGCTGACTTTGTATATGTCAATGAGAAGATTAATTGCAGTAATTGCACACATCCTAGTTGAAATGGGTGTGGTTGGTTGGTTTGATTAATTTCATTGACTTCACTTATCTTGCACTCAGATCTGCACCCCGTTTCATTAAGCAGTGACCCGTTTTATATAAAACATAGGAACCATACTGCGCTTTCTCTTCTGTGATTTTTCCCTTATTTTCGTAGTGACCAGCACAAAGCCAGAGCCCGTGTGCATGGCTCTAATTACAAAGAATGCCTGACAGTCATTGGGTCCGGCCCAAATCAACCTACTTCACTGGGAGTCTTCATGGGTTTCATGTCAGCTCTTGTCCGTGCTGTTTCACTGCCCTTCTACCAGAAGTCTATATAGCAGCTTCTGAAATTGTTTCAGGTCCCTTCCGTGCCAAACAATATCCCAGATCAGGAAAGCACCTCTGGTGAAGAGATCTGTGAGTGATTTTGGGAGTCACTGCTCATGGAGATGTAAAAGTGCCAGCTGAGACCAGAACAACATGCTTAGCAGAGTAAATTAGACTGATGATACTACCATTAGAATTAGTCCAGACAATCTATACTAAAAAAAAAAAATAAAAAAAATCCTTGTTTACAGATGCCTGATAAAACCTGAAAATTTGGTTTCTGAATCTGCAGAAGATGCTGTTGGTTTCTCAGCTGGAGCTAGTTCCTCCTTCTGCCTGATAAGCATCTCCAGATAAATCACTCCAAGTTGAAATTATCACCCTTTGCAAGTCAACAGACCTTTCGGCCATACTCGTGACCCCAAATGGGCCTAAGCAGCAAAGCCTATTCTTCACAGGAAATAAAGTGTGAACATAAACGAAGGTGCTGCCGCCAATACCAGTTCCAATCCCTTGCTCGTTCTTGTCTCCCGATCATGCTGAAACTCACAAAATGCTAAAATTAAACATCTGATTTGGTAAAGGTATGTAACTGAAATGCAATCCAACATCACCAGAGGACAAGGCATCATCAGGATGACTTTAAAGCTACAGTGTTCATTGCGGCATTCCAGCATCATGACTCCTTTCACATCCCTGCAAAAAAATCAACAATTTGCTTAATAACAAAATGTCTAGACTTGAATGTTGCAGCATGAGATTCTGTCTCTCACCTTGGGCAAGTCAGGAACTAGATGATCTTTAAAGGTCCCTTCCAACCCAAACCATTCTATGACTCTATGAACACTTCTGTCTGCATAACTGAAAATATATAAATAAAAAGCAAAGTGACATTGCATCAGTCTGCTCTGTGATGTGCAAATGAATCGCACACAAAATGGGGGATAGTGATTAAGAAGCAATTTCCCTTCCACAACGTCTCTGTAACCACCTCTAAACAGAAAAGGACAATTTTCCAGGTCTCTATTGAAATATTTTGTAAATGTACCTAAGTTTCAGAAAGGCTCTCACAGATGTGTTGTTGCCAAGATAGCGAGGGCAAGTCAGAGCGTGGGAACACACATGCTGCAGTAAGAGGGTTTAAGATATTTGTGCATTTTGAATGTGTAAAGGCAGGCTTTTACACTCAGCATAATGAAGAGAAGCTAGTGACGCTACTGCTGACAACAGCAAAATTACTTCTGGGTTTTCAAAACTCAGTTGGATAAGGCACTGGCTGGCCTGACCTAACTCAAATATAGCCCAGCTATGAACAGGGAGAAGGACTAAATTACCTCCAGAGTTTTCTTCCCTCTGTGCAAATATCCTGGGATATTTGCATTGCATGTGAAATGAAAGAACCATCCTCTGCAAAGGAGGTAAGTTTTATCCCATCACCCAGTCACGGACCCAGTAGCACCAGCCCAAGCCAAAATAATTGGAGGACTACGAGCCACAGGGAAACTCTCAAATCTTCACAGAGTCACTGAGGATTTAAAGAGCTTGTTGTAGTGTCTGATGCATCTAAATTAGTTGTCACACCAGGAGTCCTTTTGCAAACCAGGAGTGAAGTATTGCTAAATCCATGGATATGCAATGGTCTGGTCAGAAGAACAGGGGGCTGGAAAGACAACCTAAACAGGGGGTTAAACATGAGGTCTTCTCTCAGGCACATGCATATCATTTCCATGCTAGATGAATAACATTTGGTCCTCACATCCCCTCTGTTAGCATTCCTAGTGTAGAAGAGTCTTTAGGCTTAATGCAAGTCAGAGCTGTCAGGCTTTTTGGGTGGTCCCAGCACTTTACCTGTCCAAAAGATCATCCACTTGTGGGACCATTAGACACTGCTGCAATTCCCACTGAAACATTATTTGTCAAGCCCACTGCACTATCATCAGTTTAACTGAAAGCTGGATTCGTGCTTCATTCCTTATCATTTTTGTCTGCTGACGTTCAGCAGGTGGCCTGACCAAGGGGAAGGTCATCAAAGGCAACGGACAAGTCACCTCTTCCAGCCCCAGCTGCAATTCTGCTGCAGAAAGAGCAAAGGTGTCTTTCAGTTGTGGCTGACATACATGTCCACTGGCATGAGGCATCTTAAATTGACTCTAAGGTGATTAACAGAGCAGAATTAGCACAATGAGCCAGGGGAATTAAGGGCAAAGAGCCGTCCTTGAGCCAATACCATGTCTACATCTGCCAGAGGAAAACCTGCAGTCCCAGAACTCAAGTGGAAGCATAAATAGGAAACATTAACGAAGTCTCTGGTATTGTACATCGAGTTAAAAAGCTCATGAGGTTCTGCATGCCCATGCGAATATCACTGAAAGCTATGTAGTACACAAACAAGTGCTAGAGTTTTCACTGCAAAGTTTTCCAGGAACTACCTCCAATTTCTCTTTCAACTTCATTTTCACAGGTCCCCTCTCTGAGACCATCCCATGGGGAGCTGTTCTGGGGCTTCTCCTGCACAAATGGCTGTGAACCGCTTTTCTGTCACTGAAGTTACTTGTAAGTAACCAGACAGGTACCAATGACTCAACTCTTGCTGTTCAGCTAACCCAGCCTGATATCTTCTCCTACAAGGGAAATAATTTCAAGTTCAACCTGGCCAAAAGCAAGCTAAGAATTACCTTTTCCTTCCCAAACTTTCCCAAACTTTTTACTAGCTAGGGCTATCACATCTCCTGAACCAAGCCATCACTGTCAGCTCAGATTTGCCCTTCTTCCCCTCACACCCAGCCCACAACTAGACCTAGTCTCATTTTCTCTACATTCTCTTTCCCTTCTAATCCACCTCCAAATGAGCTCTTTCACTTCTCTCTTCTTCAGGCTGTGCACTGCATACCTGCCATCTCACTAGTGAAATCATACCGAGTTATGAATTCCCCCACCACACCAGTGACCCAGCACAAGTTCCCCTCCAACAATATACACCACTGAGTCTTGCTGCTTCTCTCTGATTTCATCTCCTTTCACGTTCCCTCGCTTGCCTCCTGCCACTGCCCACTAAATACCTTATTTAAAGCTTTCCCTGCTCTTTACCTCAATGCCTTCTGCCACAATGCGTGCCCAGATCCCCCGCGATGGAGGAACCCACAGAATATACTATTATTACTTGATAAGTAGAGAGGGGTTGGTGTCTTTGGACACCTGCTATGAAGAGGATGCAGAAGATCCTTTGCTGCTTCGCCAAGCTCCGTGGTGCACAGTCTTTGCAGCTGCTTTACCACAGTTCCCTGTGGCAGACACCAGCCCTTCTGGAAGGGCCCTCACTGTCCACTGAGCCCCGTGCACTTGATCTCAACACAAAGTAGATAACGGCACGCTTTAGCCTTCTGCTGGACCTAGCCCCCAGCAACAGGCGTGCAACTAGAGCATTTCACCGGTGACCAAAATTTGAAGGGTATCGTTACGGCCACAGGGTAAACAGGGCTAGAAGGTATCTTGCTAGCTACTCAATTCATCACTTGCAAATGGGAATTACCCCACTGGGCGTCTGTTCTGGCTTCTGACAATCCTGCCAGTGTTAGGTAAACCAGCACAAAGTCCATCTGCTTTAACAGGCTGGCTGAAGTCAATGTTTCAGCTCTTTTCGGCTCAGCCCAATAACCCTCGCGCAAACATGGAAATATTGACATGATAAATAGCAAAACTGACCTCTTGGCTTCCAGCACCAGTGGTACCACTGGGACTGCTCCTATAAGGAACGTGGTGCTTTGGCAGAGCTGACCAGTCCCAGCCCTCAGTGCCACGTGCACGTTAGGAGTTGTGCCAGGACATCAACTTCTTCCTGGCAGGGCCACGCTCCCCAAATTTCTGAACTGACTGGAATTTCCCCCTGGCTGAGGTAGTGTTGTCTATTCTACAGTAATCCTCACTGGTTTGATAGATTTGTCATAAAAGAAGGTTACACACAAGAAAGGTTTGAAATAGCTGACTTTTTTGAGGCCATCTGCTTACCTCCTCCCTTCTCCTTGTCTACACCTGAAACAAACAAAAAGTCTTTTGTTTGTTGGTTCCTGGAAACATACATCTCTCTGTGCATGTGGGGACAGCCTGACCAACTGTGCAAAGACAGCCTGATTTACGGCCCTGTGCAAACCTTGTGTAACCTTGAAGGCAGCGTAAAGCACAGGACCAGCTGACCCAGGGAACTGCCATGAGCAACCAAATCTCTAGGACCCTTACCCTGGTTTCTCTCTTCTTGCCATTCAAAGTCTCCTAGATTCTGCACTTAAACATGTATTAACATCTAAGTACCTAAAAGCACCTCATTACACACAACGCTAACCTCCATCAGAGATATAAAATTTCCCCTTTTCTCTTCCAGACCCAAGCTCCTTTGCAGTCCAGGTTAAGATGTCTCATTCTGGACCTGCAGACCCTTATCCCTCCCAGCCATGAATACATGCACAAATGCTCAGAGCCCCACATACAGGTAGACCAAATATAGCAAGCATACACACACCCCTTATCACTCCTACTAGAGCTCTAGATAGAAGCTGTCCTAAATAGTGGGGCCCAAACATCCGCCTCATGGTGGAAACTAATCATCTCCCAGTTTGACGGATGGGGAAAGTGAAGCTCCAAGACAGGTAGCTGAACTGATACCACCCAGGATAATTTACACGAGAACTGGTGCAGGAAAAAACCACAGGACGAGCTCTAGTTGCTTTTGCTGGAACTGCCAGACTATTTGCGTTCTGGCACCACACCAAAATGCCACACATCCTGAAAATGTGGTTATTAACAATACTAACAAACATCAGACGCTGCTGATGAAGACGCTGGTGGCACAACGGACGTGCTATCAAGCTACATGTACATTTGTCCTGGTGCCTATATACCTATAGTACTACCATAAAACATCATTACTCAAGGTGGCCAAGCCTCTGCATGAATTATCACAGGGATGACTGAGGACCACTCTCCTTCACAGCCCACCCTTTGCTGGTCCTACAGTTACTAGGGCATCTCCAGGGTAAATAGGCAGTCAGCTCCCACTTGCTCTCTCCCTTACGAGCTCCAAGAAAAGATTGAGGTCACACACACTTGCTTTTCTGCTTACAGAGCGTGAGAATGCAAGAGGAATTGCACAAAGGCTGGTTGATGGACATGAAAGTCCAGACGTGATATAAAACCACCTTTATGCTTTACGGTAGGGAAAAAGGATTTAGGAGGAAGGGAGGAAGGAAAACAAAATCCTCTCCGATGGTTTTGCTCATTGTCCTTCGAGCAAGCCAAACGCATCTACAAAGGCAGATGTTTGACCTGCCATCCCTTTGAAGCTCTTTTTTGGCCCAGGACAGGTTAGCAGGTGCTAAGCTGTGGGGCAAATGGGCACAAGGAAAAATGTTATTCATACAGCAACATGTACAAGGGACCCAGAGACTCTGTTCAAAGGACATGGAGAGGATCTGGCAACTGAACCATGGTTTATTCTTGAGAGAGAAACCAGCAGGAAAGCTCTGGTGGAAGAGGTGGGCAGAATGGATAAGGGACAGGGCTGATGTCTTCTCAGAGCATAGAAACTTGGGCACCAACCTCATGGTTCAGCTCCCAGCCACAGCAAAGTTTCTGAACAGCAATCCCTGCTGATTCTAGTGAGGACATCACACCTAAAGACCCAGACATGGCAAAACATTCACAGTCTCTCACCTGGCCATCCTCAGTGCTTTGCAATGTTCTTCAGGCTTAACCGAGAATCCCTTAAAGAAACCCAAATCCTTCCTCTCCATTCCACATCACAGACTTACTCTCCAGTTGCCTAAGGAGAACAGGACCCATCTAACGCCAATTCCCATTGCCAGCAGGGGAGGAAGGCTGCAGAAATACACCTGAGAAGAGGCTGCAGAAGACAAGTCAGCAGGTGGGATGCCTTCAGGGGCAGGAGCAGAAGCGAGGGAGGACCCTGGAGATGCTCCATCCTCGCAGGGTGACCAGCGAGGGGGGACAGTCCCTGCCTGGTCTGCCTGTGCCCTCTTGTGGCTGCATGAACATGTTGCACAGGGTAGGACCAAACCTCCGGAGAAAAAGAGAGGCTGCTCTCCCTTGCAAAGAGCAAAGATTCTTGTATTACGTTTTAATACAGAATCTAGAGGATCCTAAAAAAAAAAAAAATTAAATTATATCCCTTTCTGGCGACAGCTCTCAATTCAAAACGTAGCTGCTTAACGCAGGACAGCTCAGGAGCCAAAAAGCATGGAGCAACTTTACAGTCACCTGAGCACAAACAGCTCACTCCGGACCCAGCAGGGAAGGGACGTGCAGACACAGCTCTGAGTTTGGCAGGAGGACAGCCCTTCTAATTCCTCCATCATATCTGCTGTTGGCCCTGGCAGCTGCCTGCTATCTCCTCCTTGAAGCCCCAAACCATCCAGGGGGATTTGTTGTGTCTCTGCTGGCAGCTCCCCTCCACTCCCACCCCTGCTCTACTCCAGCACCGGCAGCGGAGGCACGGGCAGAATGGGCACCCACCACCAGCTCTGTTCCTGCCTTGCCAGCACCAGTTGGTTTCCTTCTCCATGCCTAGATGACTCGTCCTATTAAATGGTAACACTATTTGAAAAATGAGAACATCACTTTAGAACAAGGCACAGTACCTTTGGGTAAGCATCGCTGCTATCTGTTGGGGTTCTCCACATCCCAGAGGCGGCAGCCCCTTCCTCTGGGCGCTGGTTTTCTCCCTCCCATGATGTCAAATGCCAATGAGTGTGAATCCAGACAGGGAAAAGCTCATGGACCCTCACCAACCTGAGCAGGACAGGGAATTCCAAGAGCAGCAGCTCATCCCATCAGAGGAAGGCAATAATGCCCATGTTTACACAGGAATGGAAAGGGAAAAGGATGACAAGGAGATTTGCGGGCCTGGCTAAGTGTCTCAAGGCACTCTGAGTAGGGAGGACACAGGACCCCAGTTCCTGGCTTTAAACACAGCAGGGAGAAGGTTATGGTGATGTCTCTGTCACGCTGTCATAGCAAGCATCAGCAACTGGGTCTCAGGATTGCATGCAAACAAGAAAAACGGCAAAGGCCTGACCACCCTTGCCTCAAGCACGAATCCAGAGGAAGCCCATGGGGGTTCAGAGGTTCGTTGTCCCATGCTGGGAAGAACCTCAGCACCGCTCACTCACCCTGCCTCGCTCAGAGACACAAGGTTCCCTGGGACCAGTCTTTCTCTTACTCATCCTCATGCAAGTTTACCTTTAGTCTAAGAGAAGCCCCAGGTCCCAGAACCAATACCAGCATGAGGTCTAATCCTGTTTTCTGCTCTGGTTGTACCTCTGCTTCATTTCCCAAAGGCCTTTGATGTTTTGCTTTTTCCCTCCACTGCCATCACCAAGAGATGATGGCAAGAGATCTCCCGTGTTCATATCCACAGCTAAATGCAGGAGAGAAAAATTACTTTAGTGAAGCTAGAGCGACCCAGCTTCCCAACTTGGAGGGTCTGAGAGCTGCCGCTGCTGCAGGGCAGGCACACGCTGTGCCCACAACCAGCTGGCATCTCTCACTTGTGCTTGCCTCTGCTGTGGCATGGAGAGCTGCACAAGGGCTGGGGCCAAGGGAATCCACCCACAGTCCCCCTTCTCTGTCTATAAAGGACAAGAAAGGGCCCGCAGGAGCTGGACCTACCTTTTTAATAAGAAAAAGCAGCCTTTTTCAAATCAAGTTGCAACTAAAAGCAGGGGAAAATTACCTGAACAACAGGAGCAAGCTCAGTCCCCGGCACCACTACAATTCATGCTTGCCAGCTCCTGCCTTTGCATCCAAAGCCCCAGGCCCCCACGCAGCCAAGGGAAGACCGGCCAAAGAAGAGTCCATGATCCAAAAGTCTCCAGAGAAGAGAACCATTCTCTCTACACCACTAAGGGCCCACTGGTAACGGCAGCTTCTGAAAGGTAGTGGTGGATCCTGTGGATCATGGACTCTCCTTTGGCAGGTCTGACTTCTCCCTGACTTCTCCGCAGTTCTGCTTCCACCTGCTGATAGGAAAAGCAGGAGACTGCTCAGCCCTGCAAGGAAAGAGGAAGGAAGAAGATCCTTGAATTAACCAGCCTTTGAGACAGCCAGCATATCCCACGCAATGCTTCAAGCCAGTAAACTGAACCAGACCACAGCAGAGCTGGAAGAGACCTCAGCCTTGCTCAGTACAAACCACACAGGCCTGCCTTGTCACAAGAAATACTTGTGATAAAACTGTGTTTGCTACTAAAACACTGTCACTTAGTCCCCTGGTGAAGTCAGGGAGCAGCCAGCTACAGGAGGGGCAGACTGATGAAGAAAAGCATTAAAACCCCGTCCCTTAGGGCACACAGCAGCAAGAGAAGCACAGACCACAATACCAGCCAAACTTGATTTTTCTCTTGGCTACCGAGCACACCCCCTCAACCAACCCCAACAACAGCAATTAGACCTTTAGAGAGGTTAATAACAAATGTTTATTTTCCTTTATTAAAGAGCAGGGTGCAACCATCCCGCTGTTAACGGAGTGACTTCATATTAATTTACAAATTGTTCTCTCTGCTTTGTTTCAAATGTAAGACAACCTTATACAATGCATTTCTCTAATTCCTTTCATCTCAAAGTGCTTTACAAAGTGACACTGGGGGAAAAAAATAATCCCACAAACCAAAACGTCTCCTACATAGAGATCATCTCACTCCCAGTGCTGCAGTGCAGCCACGTCTGTTGTGCAATGTAGCAGCTAATGGCACATGATGACATGTAGAGATCAAAAGGTCAGGGGGAAGAGATACAAGGAGAAACTGCCAAGGATAGAATTTACCTGAGCTGAAATTTGCAGCTGGGAAAAAGCATTTCTATTGTCTCCTCTGGAAAAGCTGGTGTCAACTTGCTACAAGTCTGGAGACACCACCAAAAGAGATACAGGTTTATCACTAGCTCAAGACCCAGCCAGACTCTTACCCAAAGATGTATTTCCCAGGCTTTTACTCCACATTTGAAACATACTCCTTTGGTGAACAGTAGCAGATGTACACACTCATCTAGCTAGGGTGAGCAGCGTGAGTTGGGGCACCCAGCCGTGGGAAGCAAAAGCAGAACTAGGGTGGAAACAACTTAGACTTGCAGGTCAGCCCTTCCTGAGCTGAAGGAGGTGGATTCAAAGTTAGTATGCACTGTCAGGAATGTGTTCTCCCCGCTCTGGGGATGATGACTCATGTTTCACTTAGCTACTAACCCTTGGCAAACAATACCGTATGCCAATATAGCTAAAAGGAAAGGAGTCCCCTGAGGAGCAACTCAGCAGCATACTGTAAGTGTGCTCAGTGACAGGAAAGCTTGTGCTCATGGGGGTCTTCCACAAAAGGTTCTCAGATCTGCTGTGGATCTGTCCTTGTATTAGGTTCCAAACCAAAAACTTTTGTCTTCCCCGTCTACTCCTCCCTCCCCTGGACAAAACCACAGCAGCTCAGTTAATTTTCTTCCACTGAAGACAGAGTTCCTCCTGTAGCATCTCCCAGGAAAGGATGAAACTTAATGGAGCTGAGGATGGTGATCTGGTTCTGGGCACTAACTTGCTAAGAAGGGAGTTATGATGATGGCAGAGGGACAGGGTGATGTGGCAGTCAAGAATGCAGAAATGCCACGTGAGATGAAACCTCCAGGGTGGGTGGTGGCTGAGCTGATTCCACAGTCACTGAAAAAAAGGCTAAATTGGCTACAAAACACTGTCATGGCTTTAACACAGTTCTGTACAGACAAGCCTGAGCCCAAGCTGTAGCAAGCCTCTGCTTTGCAACAACTTTAGTGACATCCTTCCCAGCACATTTTGAGGCATACAGGAACTGCAGCCACATCACTCACGTCCACACACAGATGTCTCAAATCTCCTCACTGGAGATGGTAGCCCAGGAGAAGCTGGGTTTCCCAGGGCACGTGCATCTCTAGGTCTGCTGTAATACTGGGGAGGAAATCTTGGGGCCTCAAGACAGTGTCCAGCCTGGGCGTGCTCCTCCTGGAGACAAAGAACCCAGCCTGGGACCATGGTTTCCATCTAAACAGTGGGAACAGTACTGCCCAAAGCTCCCTTAGAGCAGGAAAAGCTCAAAGGCATCTGTTTGTGGGTGAGGTTTGTACCTAAGAGCACTATGCGGGAAGGGCTTCTGCACCAAGGACTGTCACAGGGAACTGCCTGTCAAAGTCCACATCTGCCTGTGACAACTGCAGCAGATTCACTAGACCAGGAGAAAACATCCTGCGCCGACTGCAGCCAAGCTGTGGCCAGCTGTGAGTTACACAATCTCCCTGCTCGCTTTCTTCTGCCGAAGGCCCCAGGTGCACAGCTCCGGCCTCTGGCCCGGCTGTTCCCCCAGCCTGGATTACCCAGTGCCAAATTGCAAGCTAAAACCAGAAACAAATCCCTCTTTGTGACTCAGTTGGCAGAAAGCTTCTCTTGCAGGCTCCTTTAAAAGGAGCAAGGAAATACTTGGAAACAGGCTGTTCATGGCTCTCCAAAAGATTATTGCATGCTGCTGGCATTTACAGGGCCATTCAGGGAGTAAGTGGTCAGCAGGACCTAAGTGTACAGCTGGACACAGCACCCTCCACCCCAAAGGATGAGTGGAACAGATGGACAGACAGCCAGCATCTGTCCTGAAAGACTTGCGTACAAAGAAGGTCCAGGACTCCTGCCTTGCACAGGGCTGCCCTCAGACTATGCCAAAGCAGACTGCATATAAAAACAAAAGTTAAAAAAAAATGGATATACACTGCATATAGGAGACTCCATAGAGGACAGTCTATAGACAGCCACCCCAGAGCAGCCAGGGCCAGCCCAGCTCTGAGGGAGTAGCTTGGCAGCTGCATTCCAGTCACAGTTGGAGAAGTGGGACAGCTGAAGGTGGAACTTGTGCTTCTTGCTCCTTGATCAGCTTCAGGCAGAGGGAGGGTGCGGAGGAGTAAGGCCTACTGCAGGAGAGGCACTGCATTAATCTGTTTGGCAGATTACGTTTGACAAGCCGTTCATACAGGAGCAGTTTCCTTCCATGCTCAGACCTCCGCTTACATCTCACTGGGATAAAACCCAAGTTTGGCCAGAGACATCTCCCTCCGGAGCCGCATGACCTCCCAGTACATCAGCTCCACTGCAAAGCAAAAAGGGAGTAGGGAAGAGGAAGAGGAAAAAAGAGAAAAAAAACCCCACAAAACCAAAACCCAACCAACAATCAGTAAGCAAGGCATAGCTGGACACCACCTCATGTTATGCTGTGCTCCCAGCACAGCCCAGCCAGTCTCATCCCCAAAGTGAGGGAAGCAGACAGGCTGGATGGTCCAGCAGGAGAGGGCCATCATGTTACCCCTTAACAGTTCCACCCGAAGGAAAAGCTCCCAACAAGCTGAGGAGCAATGAATGGGTGCGTCTATTCCTCCCGCTCATGCCTCTCTTTTGCCATTTAACTGTTCCTCAAAGACACAGGGAGTTCAGGGTACCCCAAGGTGGCCCCATTCCTGTCATGCTGAATCGGACCTCTTAATTCCTCCCAATGTCCCACAGACAGCACCGCCCCTGCAGCCAGCTACTACCCCCTCTTACCGTCCTGCCTCACCAAGCCCTGCTGGATATAGCGAATGTATGTGAAAAAGTTGCACACCGCTGTGATCTGAGGGAGAGAGAGAAAAAGGAGTCAGCTACAGAACTGCCTTGCCTGTCAAGAGGCTTGCACAGGACCCAGCAGGAGAGCTCTTAGTGTTCAGCACCTGAGAAATAGTACTACATACCATCAGATGGAAAGAGATAGGAAGAAAGCTGGTAAAAAAAAAAAAAAAGTCAGCATTCTCTGGGCATCCACAATCCTGTCCCAAGATACCGCACTATCCACGAGACACTGCACAGGAACTCCAATCTATTGCAGATTTGAGACATAAGTGATCACTACTTAATGTGGCAACAAAGCCTGTGATCTTCCTTCAAAGAGCACTGTTCTCCAACTGAATGAAAATCTTTGGAGTTAAAGGTTTGAGCAGAAAGTGTGTGTGCAGGGACATAAGGGTGTTCATGACACATTACAGTGCTCTGGTGCAAGTGACGAAAATTAGTCAACTTAAGTCCATGCACAAAAACAACTTTTTGTCTCAGAAATTGCCACATGTTGCAGGATCAGCTCTTCTGATTCACAATCCAGGAAAGAATAAATTTCTAAAATGCTCCATTGAATCAGAGCCCCAACAGCAACATTAACAAATCATTCACCTTCTCCCTTCCCTCCAAAGAAAGGACAGCTTGTTCTCATAACCATTTGAGTCACTGATCTGTACTAGAACAATAACAAGAGCCAGCATTTAAAGAGCAGACAATTACTGTGTTTTACAAAGGAAAATTGAAAAATAATAATAAAGCAAAACCATCAAATCCCTGTCCTGAATCAAACCATGGAAAGCAAACACACTGAAGGAACACAAGGCAGAGCACTGGAGCCTGAGGCAGGGCTGCAGACCTGCACCCTAGTCATTGACCAAGAGCCACCCCAACTTCAGGAACAAACTCAAGACCCACAGGTCTTAGTTTGAGGGCTTACCCTCAAGAGCTCCTCCATCTCAGGGCTTGGAATAATTTTGGAGGGCTGAGGCACCCTGAGAAGGTGAAGGACTCACCCTGGCCCTGCAGGATGGTGAAATGTAGTAGTAATTCCCAGAATCCCCCAGCATGATGCGGTGCTTGCAGGTCCTGGGGAGGCCACTCAGAGCACATTTCCTGCAGACAAAGAAAAAACACTTCAGCCTTCAACAATCTGGTGGCAGAGCAGAGCACAATTCAACAACCGCAAGACTATTCCAAAGAGATAGAAGTGGGAGCTCAGAAGCCAGACCTGTGTCAGGCAGCGTGAAGAATTAAAAAACCATGGCTGATATGAGCCTTTTGCTCCTAGAAAGATTCCATAAATGGCAAGTTTAGGAGACCGTAGGCTAAATATCTGGAACCATGAATTATTCCACGCCCAAGCAAACCAAGGCTGTACCCCTTCCCTGGCAGACAGCCCAAGACAAAACCACAGAAAATATTAAAGAGGTGAGGCTGGAGCAGAGTATAACAACTGCCATCTGGTCTCTGCACATCTCCTCCATGTCCCAGGCAAGGCTTTTGCTGAAGGAGTTCTGCTCAGGTGTATCAGCTTTCCTGATGAGATACAAACATTCTGGCTGGGGCCCAAACCTGGTCTCAAAAGAGGTAAATCCAGCATTTGAGCAGAATCTGCTCATGCTGAGAACTCAAAACAAGCCACACTGCAGCCTTTATGCTAGGCTCCTACTAATTAATTTGGGCCTGATTTGAAGCTACTCTAGTTGAAGCCACATGGAGTGACTTTGTACTGACTTCAGGGGGCTTTGGATAAGGCTCGCAGTTCCTAAGAACAAGCCAATCCCTTCTTGTGCAGAGAGGGAAGAAGCTTGGCTTCACAACTGTAAGAAGATTTCAGACTGAGTGAAGAAAATAGTCTTTTCAAGACAGCTCAGTTCCCAGGGAGACCATCAAAAGATGTAATCAGCAAGGGTGAAGCATGCCTCTATTTTCTTGCCATTTCCTTCCCTTATTTGCAAGACAAATGGTTCCCAGCACCAGCCAGTTGCCCTTCCTTCATCACCACTTAAAGCAGTAAAGCAGAATTTTCTGCTGCATAGTCACCACCACATTGCCCAGAGACTTAGTGCCTGCGTGCTGGGAAGAGGGACATCACTCCCAGCTGCAAAAAATTGCTCTGTGGGCCACGAAAGATGACAACACACGAGAGCAGATGTTTCAGAGAGCTTCTGAGCACATCTCTGTGCTTGCTCTCCACTGCTATCAAGGGCAAATACTAGCTAAGAGTAGAAGCATGGGCTGTAAGTGTTCAGAAGCAATGAGAAGTAATTGTTGCCCAATGAGTAACACAACTTTGGGGGATCAAATCCTCAGGAGGTGCAGGACGACCGATACCTTTGTAAACGAGATACCTTTAAGAGGTCCTAAATTTGAGCATTGCAGCGCACTGGAAAAAGAGACTACTGCTGGTCGCTCTTAGCTTGGTTGATACCACTTGATGTAACCCCAGCTATCACAACTGTAGCTAGAAGTCACCTAAACCACAGCATTTGGACACCTGCCCGTCAGCGCTCTACACACCCCAGGGCACTTTGCCAGACATGCTATCATGAAAGCCAGTTGTCCTCGCACCTCCTGGCCAGCATTTTGCTCTGATGCTATATAGACAATGTCACATAGTGGCCAACTTGGTCCTTGCCTGTCCAGACTCCTCAAACTGTTGCACTGAGGTCTGTACAGTAGGGTACAGACCAGTAGGTCTGGTAGGTCCCAGCTTGCACAGGTACCCCAGCTTTCTCCTTCCTGGTTCATAGCATGTCCAAAGTTGCCATAAAAATCAGTGGTTTGCATCTGGGAAATAAAAGGGAACAAATTCCTTTTGGGTCCTTTATTGCCAATAGCAAGATTCCTTACCATCCTGTCTGGGTAGAAATTAAACAGGGTTAAGAAGTTAGCTTAGTTCAGCTCTAGCCTCAAAGCTGCTAAATTGCACTAAGTTAGTAACTTGTTAATGGATTAGAGATCTTTGATCACTGACTGAAGAACAAATACTTCACTTACGTTACAATTTGTGACCGGAGCCCACTGTGAAGACAAAACAAAACACAAAAAAAAATCAAAAGGAAACCGATAAGGATAAACACAGGATGGGTTGTTCTTGGAACAGGCCCGACACATACTCGTGGAACAATTTGCCTAGAGATGACAGAAAACTCAGAAGATAGTGGTAGGAAACCTGCATGTGAACAGCATTTACTGTTACATGAACACCCTCGCTTACAAGGTCCTCTGCTTGAAGGCAAGGGAGGGAAGAAGAAAGAGAGCCCTGACTGAACTTAAATTCAATAGCTGAACAAAATCCCCTATCTTCGTCTGGAATATCACGTCACTCCTGCTAGTGCTCCTCTTCTTTGAGGCAATCTCAAGTTGTCTGTCACATCAGATACAGTCACACAAGCTCTGGAGCAGTCATAGCCCAAATTCTGATGGCAAGGTGACCAGCATCAGGTGGGGAAGATGATATGCAGCAAGAGGAGATCTCTTCTGACCTAGGCTCAAGCCCACCTGGTGCACCAGCAAGGTCAGGAGTGCAAGGCGAGTTCAGACCTCACACGGTGCAAGAACATGAGAGAATGCAGCTCTGACTTAATCCTTTCACCCTAGGTTATGCACAAACACTCCTTCAGAGAACATTAAACAAGTTGCTACCTTAAGGGAAAAAAACAAAACCTTCTCCCAAGCCAAGGGCACTAACACATCACTAGCTTATCCCCCAAAAACAGTGAACTACAGTACATCAGCCGAGGTAATTCCCCTTCTCACGTGAAGAGTTGAGCTGAACTACCACTGGTCATAGGCTAGGAGAACACTCAGCTGAATCCTTTCAACTGTTCAACTCAACTGACTGAGCAAGGCCTGGCCAAACTCCACTAGACGGTACAGGAAAGACCAATAGCAAGGAGAGGACGAGAGAGCATAAGCATGGTTCCTTACTTTGGCCCACCACACTCTTCTGCTGACACCTTCACCACAGGCACCGTCTGGGAAGCAACCGGCTCAATGGTGAGTGTATTCTGCTCCACAGCCACTCGCACCAGCTCCGACAGCTGCAGCAAAAAGAAATGAGTGCAGATATGAATGTGCAGAGGACACCTCCATAAAAGGCACAACTTTGGCACTGCCAGACTGCACAGGTTTTGTCCTCTTTTTCCAGCACTCACCTCCTGCTTAGTGAAGTCCAGACAAGGTCCTACATCTTCTCGATAAATTCTGTCCAGGAAGGAGCAAGATTTATCCAAAGTTGGAGATTCCTTCCAGGCCTGGAACTCAGCAAATAAAATGGAGTCGACCTGCAGCAAGTGTCCAAGAGGAGCAGGAAGAAGGAAGGTGGGTGAAGAGAGAGATACCATATCAGAAGGTATCTCTTACCATGCAGGTAACCTAACTAAAAACATCTGCTTTGGCATCTAGAAAGGCTCAGACATCACAGAAGTGTCTGAGGGAAGCTGGCTTGCTCCAAGGATCTTTCATCTCCCACCCAGACTAACACAGCCATACTGGACTTATTCTGCCAGAAACCTGCAGGCACCTCTCTATCCCATCTTCCTCCAGGACAGGGCAGCACCTCTGCTGCAGGAAAGCCACCGCACAACCACCAAACAGACCAAGTGCCCACTCAGCACATAGCAGGAATGACAATAGCAGCTGAATGGCAAAGCACAGTGGCAATGGCACTCAGGACACAGGAGGCAGAACCATTCTATAAGGAAAAGATTGCTACAGAAAAGGATGAATTGGAAATATTAATAAACAGCCATCAGCAGGACTACATTCAGTGAGCCCAAGTATGAGGTCACAGGGTATGCCAGCCCTTTAAAGACCACTCCAAGCCCAGAACTCTGGTGTTTGGGGAGTCGCAGAAGTAATGGGAACACTGGGCAGCCACACAGGCTTGCAGAGGCAAGCTGAGTGTAGGAAAGGAGCTCTTTCAAAGAGAACTCAGAGTAGGAACAGCTTTTCCTATTCTAATGTCTGCTTATTGCCTTTTACAGGTGGGCTTGAGAGCATTATCACTGCTCAGTAGAAAGGGACCCAGGACAGAGCTTGCTCCCAATCCCCTGAGCCAGCAGGAAGGTTGCTTTCTCCATCCCTGTCTGGCTGAAAATACTTCAGTCCTGGAGACTCTCTGGGACCTGACATTTAAACCCCAGATGGATCATTAGCAGAACCACCAACCTGACTGACAGGGCATCTCCTTAAAAGGCCAGCAAATCCTGTTAAAGCTGCTGAAAGGAAAAGCAAAACTAAAGAAACCCTGCTGAGCAACACAAAGAACATAAGTGAACAAAGCTGAAAAAGGTCTGGGTTCTAGCATACTCGCTCTGTGCTACGGAGACTGCTCACCTGCTACCAGGAGACAGCTTCAGAGCCACAAGATGGAAAAACAAATTGAGAAACACACAAAAACAAAACAAACAAACAAAAAAAAGCAGGTTAGCATAAAAGCAAGCTAGAACTGAAAGGCTGGAAGCGAGAGGCAGATGGGTCCCACCCCTCCCCAGTGCTGTCCAGAAAGGTTACCTGCTGCAAAGATGAGGAAGCATCTGCTCCCAAGGCCTGCCAGCCTGGTTCATAGGTGATGTGGATAGCCTTCCCAGGGATGATACAAAGGAGCAGAGAGAGGAGAGCAGGTAACCCAGACTTTGAGGGCAGCAGAAGAGACAGACAGTGAAGGAAAAGGTTTAGAGAGACAAGCAAGAAAGGGAGGTAAAAAACATGAGACAAAACAGAAGATACAAAGAAAGGCTCAAGTCCTCCCTTCCAGGGCACTAAGCATGCTGCTTAAGACATCACAGGGCCACAAGCCACACCTTTTGACTTCAGCTTGAGGTGCAAAAAGGGAACAAAAATTCTGTCATTTTCAGGCTCAGTTTAAGATGGGGCACTTTTTTTCCATAGAGCACCTAGCACCAACTCTCTGAATGCCAGGTTCCCTTTTATCACCTCTCACATAGGCCACTAATGAATTTGAGAGACAGAAATTAACAAGTTAAAAAAACCCACCCCACCCTTGATATATAAAATTATTAGTCACTTTGGAAGCCGTAGCCCTGGGATTTTAAGCCCCAGGATATCTGCACCATGTGGAAGTTACCTACACAAAGAAATAACAGGTCCAAATCTTTAACAAGCAGTCACTTACAAGAGCTAGCTTTTCTCTAAAGATCGTCAACACGAGATTTGCTGAGACTGAGCCAAGAACAGCAAAATTAACTACCCAGCAGGCAAAAGTTATCTCTGCTTGCTGTAAGCAGAGGGCAACTTCTACAGGATAGTCAGTGGTTCACTGGACTGAGCTCTCAGTTTGGAGCTCCTCTATTAAGACTGGAGGAATAGTTAGCACTGGGAGAGGTCACGGGACCTTAAAAAGATTAAAACATTTTTCTTCCTGGCCCCCAAAGCAGCTTCTACCTGACTACATTTGACTCCAACTTCCAGTGTATCTGGACTGTTCCCTACTTGACCGAGAGAAACCAGTGCATCAGGCCTTCACAGTTACTAACTGATTTTTCCTTTGGCTTTCTTTCTGACATAGCCTTTGTTCCTCTCTGCCTGTAAACAGAATTAAAGATCTTCATCTCTTGTTGCTATTGCTGTCTCAGGACAACGGCTATAATCAATGATGCCTGAAGCATTTCATCCAAACTCTAGCAACAAGAGCACTACGCAGAAGCTGACAAGGCACGTTCATTGAATCCACTGCCAAAAGCAGACGTTACCAGTGTTGCCAGCACAGTCCTGTTTGGTAAGAGTATTAATTTCACACCTGGCCCTTCTGCACACATTCTCACGCAAGCCAAGTGACCAGGTGCCTTCGTGTTCCCTCAACAATTCATGACAGATGCCGCAGCTCCGAAAAAATCATTAGGGAGACATAATCCCCCACCACATTCTCACTCATTTTCATTCTTCCTGACCAAGTGCCATAAGCTGCCTCCTTTTTGCTCCCCAGGACAGCTGTGTACACATCTGGCTAGTGGAAAGTTCCCAGATGGAAAGGTCCTACTAGCAGGAAAAAGCCTTACTTACACCCACGGTCACAGCAGATGGGGGACTATCAAAGGATCACCGAAAGGAATTAAACAGTGTTTGTTTGAAAGATATTCACAAATGCCTTGTATGCTTCTCTAGCCAGTTTCTTCCAGTGGGGAAGGAATTAAATATAATTAATTAAATATACACTCTGCAAAGAAGAAGAAGAACAGTGACATGCCCAAGAACACAAAACAAGTGACAGAGACTACAAGTTGACAGAGGTGTCCTGGTGTCCAAGCCAAACTAGGCAGAGAGAAGAAACAACAGCAAATCACACCAGAGCAGGTAGTGGACTCAACTGTCAAGATGCAGCAGAACAACTGGCTTCTCCTCAGCAACTTTTGACATCCACTCTCACCACTGGTAATTCCTGGATCTGTCCATGCCCTCCAGGGATCCCTCAACTGCTTCCTCTAGCAGTTGTCCTGACGCAGCCTTGAACGTGCTTCCCAGAAGGGGAAATCTCCACAAATGGAAACCCTTCAGAGCCTGCCTCAGCACAAATTTAGGGAACAAGCCAGATTACTGCACAGACAGCTTCTCCCAACACTGAAACCACAGAGCTCTCCAGGAAGCCTGAGTCAGATGCCGCACACCTCCCTGAGCACAGTGGCTCTAAGGCCGATGCAGTGAATGGCCCTCACCCACCTCTTTGCATTCATGACTGACTGGCTCTGGAGTCACATTCTGGCTGGCAGCTGAGACCATTGCACTGCTGGTGCTTTTGTTTCGCCCATGGCCCTTTCTGAAGACAGCTTTAGAAGGGCTCTGGAGCTGAGGATGCAGCTCCCGGTTTGGAGAGGAAGGTGTGGATGTGATCACCAGCGTCTTCAGAGCTGTTACCTCTGCCTGCAGCATGTCGATCTGAGGAGACAAGGCAAGAGTCAACAGCGCCTTCAGCAATTGCTAAGCTCCAGCTTGCTGCACCCCACCAAACACTAAAGCCACAGGGAATCAGCTACAAGCCCAGTCCTGAAGCCTTGTTCCCATTCTCCCAAATGCCCACCATCACACAGAATTTTAAAGAGGGCTAAACTGCAGCTACTTGGGAACCCACCCCTCCACTCCTCAGTCTGAGCACATTTCGCTCCAGGCTCTTTTTAGACCCAATAACCCAGAAATTTCTCTCTCAGGAATAAACCAGTTGAGCAGCCCTGTGATGCAGCCTTGTCAGGAAATTCCAACTCCCCAGCTCCCTGCTCTAACCATCCCCACAGCTGTGGCAATTAAACAGCATATCACTTCTCTGTGGTTCCCCTGGCATCCATTTCTCAAAGGGGAGCTGGATCAGCAGCAGACTGCAAGGATGCCTTTTCCCCCTCAGTCAGTGTCTGCTGGAGAGGGAACAGAGCAAATGCAGCATCTCAGAGAGACCGAGCTGCAGGCACTTTACTCTCCTCCAGGCAACAGACAGCACCATGGCTGGGCAGGGATGGCACCAACCTAGCACACAGATCAAGTCACAGAGAGCGCAGTTCTCACCTTCCCCCGTGCCTCCCTCAGCTGTTTCTCTGATGCCGCCTGTTTAGTGTTTGCTTCTCTCACCATCTTGTGCGCTTCCTGGACCAGAGAGAATTTTAGTCTGCCTGTTGCAGCCCCAACTCATGAAGCCACCCAGGCCAAAGCTCTGCTACATCACATGCTCTGGGCAAGCAAGCAGGGGGACAGACATCATTGCCACATCCAAGGGTTTTACTCTGTCAGCCGTGAAGAGCCTTCCCCCAGAATTTCCCAGAGAAGGCTCTCAGTGCCAGAGCCTGGAGCGCATCCCCCTTCTAGGAGTGTAGTTGGCTAAATTAAAGAGTTCAGCTAGCTGAGTCCAAGGTCACCTCTTTCACTGATACGGGCTGCTGTGAAGCAAGCTAGAAGCAAAGGCCTGCCCCTCCTTGCCCTTGGGAACTGCTTTAAAGCTGAGGCTTTAACATTAGCACCCACCTGTGCTGCATCGCAGCTGTGTAGCAGCTGTGTCTGTGCCCAGTCCAATACCTCTGCAACTCTGACCTTGACTCACACTCACTAGCTTGGCCTCCTGACTTGACCTCAGGCCTGTGTTGTCACTGCAGACTTGCTGGTTGATCACTGGACTGTTTTCTGACACTGATTGCTGTTTGTGGCACAGAGCCTGATCGAGACTTGCTGCTCCATGTCTTAGCTCCCCACTGGTGAGGTCACTGCTCTTGCCTGACTTGTTATTGCACTTTGCTCCCACTTCCCTTGTGGAGCGGCCAATCCTCACTGCTCTGGGCACAGCTGCAACACAGCAGGAGCTGTAACTCAGGTGGGGGCCAAATGGTAAAGGCTGGCTTAAAAGCATCTCCCACAGAAAGAGGGGAGCGGTGCAAGTCCCAGCTGGAGCCTCCCCACAACACTGTCTGGAAGCAGTTTGTCCAAGGCCACCACAGGAAGGGGACAGCCCTCAGCTACTTATCACTAAGTTCACCCTGAATGCAGGCAGCTAAATTTCCAGAAGGGGGATGTTCTCTTGGCCCTCGCACTCAGCACCAGCCTGTGTTTCAAAGGTACAGATGGGCTCTGGCTTTCCTCACTGCCCAGTCAGATCCAGACATTAGAGCTGCTGCTAAATGGGATTTTGCCAGGATAGAGCTTGGCAAGAATCATATTACAAAAAAAAAAACCAAACCCCAACCAAAAAAACCCCAACCAACAGGCCTTCTGAACACTCATTGGAGCAGAGTATATGAGGACATCCAGCTTGTTCCCACCCCAAGCAAGGGCTGACACGAGCCAGAGAATCATCTCTATTACACAGCAGCTGCTGTCCAGACTAGAGAGCAGGCATGGGAGAGGGACAGGGAGCTATGCTTAGCTCCAGCTACAGGCAACCCCACATCTTTTTTTCCTACCAGACATACAAACCCATAACTACTGTGCTTTTTATGCCACCCCACAGCTGCTAGAAGGGGAAAGAAATGCAAGCAAACACTCCCCAGGAGCAGGTACAAGCCCCTGCTCTGAGGCTCTGCCTGCAGCACTGCCCAGCTCTGCCTCTTCAAGTGGGAAAGAACAACAGGGGGAAGGAGGAAACTGTGGGAGGAGATGGCTGGAAGTTCAGGGAAAGCCTGTCTTAAAGGAGTTGGATGTAAGCTTAGCTTAAGAAATGATGGGAAAAGGAAGAGGGTGGTACCTCAAATAGGCTAGCTGTTAACTCCTCTAGTTCCTGCTCCAGTTGTTCTCTGACTTTTGACAATCTCTCACATTCTTTGTCCTTCAGCTTCAGCTCCTGTTGAGGAAATGGAGAGGGATGTGTAAGCTCATAGCAGGCTCCAGCAGTGCTGATGCCTGCCTGCCCCCACCTGTCAATCACAACCTTTCCTCCCCATCATGGCATGGATTCCCAGCCCAAGACTCCAGTCGCTAAACTCCGTACCATGCTCCGTGTCGCCAAAGGCATCCCTCCAGAAGTTGTCGCAGGCTTTTCAGGCTAGAATTGCTCATTTGCCATTAGCAAGGAGGCTCCATAGTGAGCACTGCCTGCCTCAAGCTGCTTTCTGCAGCAGGTTTCCAGGACTGATTTGTATGTTGGCACGGGGGCTTTGGGTCAACCTAGCAACTGATGTCCTGCTCCAAAGCACCTTATGGCCACCTCAGCTCAATCTCTCTCCTCTTCTGCCTGCTCCAGACTGTGGCACGGCCACATTGAGACCCTGCTCCCCTCAGTACCACCTCTTGGAAAACCCCCACTGCTCAAATCTGTACCACCATCCTCAGGTGTTCTCACAAACTCTGGGTCTTACCTTCTGTGCTTTGTGCAGTTCTTCCTTCAGGAATTCAGACCCCTTTTCACGGATCTCCACTGAAGAGCTGCGTAGACGCGACACGTTGAGCTGCTCAGTGGACTGGGTCTCATCCACCCCTCGAGCATCCTGGCGTCCAGTCTCTGGCTCCTCCTTGCTGCCTTTGGACGGCATTAGTGTCTTCCAGTGTCCCACAGCTGGTTGATTCTGGCTGTCTTCCTCAAAATTGGCCTGGCTGTGGGGTACCAGCACAGAGAAACTTTACATGGGGGCAATTCACAGCCTTCCTCTAACACTCGCAACATATCCACCTCCAGCCTCTGACAAGCACCGAAGTGAGGCAGGGAGGGTGATGGTGTACAAAGAGGCCAGAATTGTCTTAGAGGACTTGCTCTGTGCTCAGCAGCAGCAGCACCAGTTCCTTTACCCTGCATGCAGGCACTGCCTCCCTATTGAAGTGCTTCACCCTTCTGGCATGGATTGTTTGCAGACCAGCAACAGAAGAGGAGATGATGGTCTAAAACAAAGACTTTGGGGGAAATCTCCGCTCCTATCCTGGAATCTTTAAGAATCACACCAAGTCTAGTTTGAGATGCCCAGCCTGCACTCCTTTTAAGAAGGGCTGGTTTCTCAACAGTGAGTACTCCCTCACAGATAATTCTGGACACACAAAACTTAGTAGGTAAAGCAATACTATTCGTAACTCCTGGTTTTACCCTTCTCAACCAGCATGTCCCAGATACCATTAACTCAGGATAAAGCAGGAGAACTGAAGACAGCTGCTCCAGGAATCCCATTCCTGCCTGCTTTCAGAAACAGACTGCAGCTGGCTTGTTTAGGACTCCAGTATAAACCCAGTAGACCTAAGTTCAGAGACACTGAGAGTAGCAAGAAAAAGCGAGAACAGCTCTCCCATTCCCTAGCAATATACAGACCCCAATCCCCTCCACTGCAAACCCAGCCTTCCTCTCATGCCCATCCCTGCTTCAGAGAGGAAGGATCTATTTTTAACCTACTGGTTTCCCACCAAAGTCTTCCACAGACCTGTCTAAAACAGTGTATTTCCACTGAGCTGAGATGAAGCCCTATTTTTTAGTTTCAGTGGCTGGCAAGTAAAGATGTAGTAGAAAGAGGAAACCAGAAGAGTCACCCAGGACACTGTTCCCCAGTGCTCAGTAGGGCTTTGTCAACTGTCAACAGACTAACACAGACCCTGGAAGAGGCTGATGAATTTAGTAGGTTTTGCAGCTGCTGGGGACTTATGAGAAGAAAACATAGACTTGTACACCACCCCTTCTTCATGCATTGAACTGTCCTCACATGGTCACTAGCCATTTGAAGTCAGTGGGAACACGATCAAGCCTTGCACACATGGAAGCTTTCTATCACGTGCAGCCGCTCAGCAAGATGCACACACTGCACTACAGATTAACCTGCTGCCAGTTATCTCTGGGTCACAAGCCTCGGCTGAGCTGTGGTGCTATTGTCTTCCATGCACAGCACCAGTCCCTCCTCCGCACACTCCTCTGGCTACTGCTTCTTGCCCACTACCTTCTCCTGCAAGAAGCTATCACCTTCTTTTGGTTAGGTTCACTTTCTCTTCTTCCCTCTTCCCAATCTATATATTTTCCTCTCCTGAATTTGCCCTACCTCTTGTATTCCAGCCAGGTCACACTCTTCCCCCTTGCTCTGACTCCAGCCCCATACTGCACAGCAGAGCACCGACTGGGCTTATCTCCTCAGCCACGTGGAGCTCAAAAGAGCCTTGTTCCCCTTCATCTCACCCAAACACAAAAGGCAGTCAAACAAACCATTAGGCTCAACTACTAACAAGCCTTTTTCTCCTAGGCTATGCCACCTGGCAACAGCATGGTGCTACCACCTTTTCTACTCAAATTGCTCCCTTTCTGCCCCTCCCCACAAAGCTGTCCATGAGCAACAGTTGTCCACAGTCATCTTTCAAAGAGGGAAAGAAGCAGCAGCTACCAGCTAATTCAGCTCAGGTACCACAGGAAAGCACGTGGAAAAGCACACATGGAAAACTCCCTGAAACCTTGGAAGATGAAGGGCACAAGATCGTCCCTGATGCCACGCCATGCCAACTGGACAGCATTTTGACTACACAACTGGGTGTGGGGGACACGCAGTCAGCATCACAGATTTTGCTGACCTCTCTTGAGCAAGAACGAGTGAAAGCACCAGAAGGATGGTCACACAGCAGTGCTAAGAAGGTAGGAAAGGACAGGAACAAACTGGCATCCCCTTGACTTCCCCTGGTTTTACTGAACATTCACCGGGAAGATCTAGAAGGAGAGGCTTATCCTGGTGATACTACTTAATTTGGAAGTGTGGAAAATAACGTAGAAGGGTGCATTGGGGAAAGGGCAGGAAAATAAAATAGTTTGGGCCAAACAAAAAAGGACAGACAGTGCCTCCAAGCAAAGATAATTCATCTTGAGCTATTCAGCACACTGGGACTGCTTGATAAAAAGCAACATACGCAAACACAGAGGGATACGCCTGACGGAGCGAGCCACAACCAACGGGAACTCCCAGACTGGGCAGGCATCTACAGTTTGAGGTGCAAGAGAGCACGCAAGTGCAAACTACATGGTGTCCAGAGCGTGCAGTGCCTGCTCCATCCAGTTAGGCTGCTCTGTTGGCACGTTTGGTTAAAGGAAAGGCAGAACAGCACAGAAGAAGTAAAATGGTTTAGAAAGGTCAAGATTAGCTAACACGGGTCACTTACCTAAACAGTGACATCGCTAACGGGATGAGGAAGTCTCCAAAGGCTCCAAACACTAAGGAAAGAGAGGGATCGAGCAAGAGAATGACCCAAAGGAAGGAATTAAATCCATTACAGGAAGCTGGGGACATAACAAGACCAATTCATCCCAGAGATCGGGGAGGTTCTCTGCAATGGATTTGCCACCAAGCAGGAGAAGCATGCCAAACAGAGAGGTCTGTCCAACAGTTAAACCATTTCTCAGGTGGCATAGTGGAAGCCCTGTCTGCTGTGGACTTTTTGAGATTAGACAGGGTAAGTTGCAGAGAACACATCTCTCCAGGTTCTTCCGTATTACAGAGGAAACACACTAGAAGGGCTCCAGCCAGACCGAGCACCTCCAGCTTCTGTGATCAGAAAGAAAAAAAAAACAAAACAAAACAAAGCAGAGCATAGAGGAAAAGCTGGATTCAAAACCAAGCAGCTAGTAAAAAAAATAAAGCAGCAGCAAGGCAAAGGGACATTTCCACAGTCCTCTAAACTACTAAGACAGCCAATCTAAGCCATACATAACAGGAAGAAAAAAACAACATTGTTTGTTTATGACTTTCAAGTCCTCAAAGGAAAGTTGTCTTGGGAGACAGGTATTCCAGTGTATTTCCACACGTTATGGAAGAAAACTAGAGGACACGGAAGAATACAACAGTCCCACCCACACTCCATAATGCCAAGGGACCTAAAAACCTATCCTGAAAAATCATCCCATCTTCCATGACGGAATAGTACATTCTCCACGCTGTGCAAACAAAATCCCCACAAAAGCCTTGGCTATGCTGGCTTCTGCCCAGCCAAGCCCCAATCTCCAGGGTCCAGCTGGGGCTTTGAAATACACCCCCCCTCAGAAACCAAAGGACCACGACATACACTCGCACGCTCTTGCTATCGCTGGTCTGACTGGCGGCTATCTTCCTCGGAAAAATGTATCATATCCTAAGGGTCCCACACTGACACAAGAAACGCAAACTTAAAAAAAACCAGAACCAACAGCCCACAAACTTCTAAAGTTGGATTCCGTAGAAAAAGCAAAAAAATGTGCAGGATCTGCACTTTTTCCAGCGGGCCCCACATGTTTCCTGCAGTGCTGATCTGACAGGGTTATTTCCCGTATGAACAACGTGTGGGTCTCTCCAGGTTAAACTCTTACCCTCCGGCTTGCAAAGGGGACCTGACTTTTCCATCCCGATCAGGACAGAAGCCTGACCGCTGCTGTACCGCACCGCCACGAACCGGCATCGGTCCACAGCCCGCTCACCGCCCCGCCAGGCGCTCAGTAACATGCCTCTCAAAAGCGTTTGGCAAAGCATATGGTAGCGTTTTATTATAGCGTAGCACGCAATCTGCATTTCTTGTATTTGCCTCAGCAGACAGCAATCACCCACTGTGTCCTTCCTGAGGGTTGCTGGGGGACACGGTAAATCTCCTTATTCCCTCTCCTTACTCCGCTTCCACACAACTGCACGCACAAACACACGCCCGCAGAGCCTTGAGAGGAGACGGAAGCTTTGGGCTGCAGGGACGCAAGGTGTTAACGACAAAACAAGCAAACCCAGTGGAAGTCCAAGGGGAAACTCAGCCCGGCTTCTCCACACGAAGACGCCCTTGTCCCCGCACCCACAGGCGGTGAGGCTCGGGGGCTGCGGGGGGGGACGACAGCCCGAAGGGAAGGGGAGAAGGGAAGGGGAGAAGGGAAGGGGAGAAGGGAAGGGGAGAAGGGAAGGGGAGAAGGGAAGGGGAGAAGGGAAGGGCAGAAGGGAAAGGCAGAAGGGAAAGGCAGAAGGGAAAGGCAGAAGGGAAAGGCAGAAGGGAAAGGCAGAAGGGAAAGGAAGGGAATGTCCGGCCACCAGAAGCCGCGGGCCCACAGAGCGCGGCCGCCTACCCCCTCCCCACACACCGGCCCGGCCCCGCTGCCCTGAGCCTCCCGGACCCGAAAAGCCGGGCTCCCGGACGTACCCCCGCCGCATAGCTGGGTCCCACCGGCACCACCACCACCACCAGCGCTGCTGCTGCTGCTGCTGTTCACGGCGGAGGCGGAGGAGCGCCCTGCGCCGTCCCCATGCCCGGAGCCGGAGCCGGAGCCGAGCCCGGCGCTGCGGCACCGCCTGAAGGACGCGCTCCCGCCGCCCGCGGGCGGGGGGGGACACACACACCACGTGATCCCGGCGCCTCTCTGCGCGGCAGGGGGCGCGCCTGCGCACTGCCGCCCCGCCGGCCCCTGAGGAGAAGGGCGGGAAGCCATGGCGGGCGGTTTGTGTCGCCCGTCGTCGCTGTGTCCCGGGAGCGGACAGTACCGGGTCCTGGAGCCCAGCCCGGCTCCTTTCGCGGCCTTGAGGCCGTGCAGGCCGCTTCGTGGGCCGCCCGGAGCCGCTCCGGCGGGTGGTGTTGCGCTGGGGTCGGCGTTCCGTCCCTTCGGCGGTGTAATGGTTTTATTAGCCTCACGGTACTTCGTGTTTTCCTTAGAGTTGCGGTTGCCCGAGCTGGAAATCACGCCGGTCTCCCGTCTCAGCAATAAAACCGGGAACGTTTCCAGACCTATGATTCAGTGGAAGAGTTTGCAAGCCTTCTAAAAGGCCTAAGGGGATAGGCATAAGAAACACAAACCTCAGAATCGCTGTCAGCGTCCTGGTTTGGGGCTCCTGACTCACGATCTCTGAGATGTGCTCTGCTGGGGTGAGTGAGAAGCCTTCCTACAAAGCGGAGATAGCGGAGAGGCAACCCCTGCCGCGATGCTGGTACAAGGGAAGCAGCTGCATGCGAGTGGATGTCACTAGGATTTACAGCCTGCAGAGCTGCAGGGGCCCTGGGAGAAGGTGTGTGCTCAGCCAGGGATTCAGACTGGTACCAGCAGCTGATGACACCCTTACGCTCCCTGTTAACACATCATCCCTCCCTGGCACGGAGCATGCCCTCAGGCTCCTGCTGAGACAGCTCCGTGGGCTCCGTGGGGAAGCCTGGGATGTAAAGAAATGATAATATACAGGAAGGTGAAAGGATGGGGTAACCTGGCTGGCGGCAAGAAAGGCCTGTGCTTCTTAGTGGTGGGCAACAGTGGGACTGGACCAGGATTTTTAAACTTGGCATTCAGGGAAAGCACTGGGCTTTCCATACCCTTACATGAATGAGACAAGTCGGTCTCGTTGTTACTGAGCTTTGAACTTTGGATGCTGTGGCTCCAATATTTACCTAGCTCATCCTTCCACTCGCTCTCTCCAGGAGGCTGCGGGAGCCTGGCAGCTCTCCCAGTAGATGAGAGCAGTCATGTGGCCGCACTGATTTACATCCTCTCTGCAAAGCAGTGCGAACACACCATCTCTGTCCACCCGTTCTCCTCCCCCCTGCATCACCACCTGTGTGTGGAGGAGCCCCTTTGCCCAGGGCATACTCATCCTGAAAGCTTTTTCCTCACTTGCTCTGCTCCGCTAGCACAGAGGGGCAAAAAGGGTCAGCGCCAGGGGATTCCTGGGGCATTGGGAAATGCCCAATCCACTCCACAGCCCACCACTGAAATCAAGAGGAGCTATGGTTCTAGGAAGTTCACCCTCTCACTGGGGCATTACCTACAGGCAGAGGGACAACTGCCACTGTGAGGTTCCCACCTCCCCAGCAAGTGCTCCAGGGAGCGCACAGCACATTGTCCCTGTCCCTGGGAGCATGTCTGCCTGCTGGGAACAAAATAGGCAAAACATTCCTGCTGTTACCCCAGTCCCACAGCAGATCCCACAACCACCTCCGGATTGACAGTGCTGCAATTTTGGTGACAGTGCCTCCATTGGACCAAAACCCGCCCCTTCCCTCGCAGGCCACCCTCAGAGTGTGTCTTCCAGATCGATCCTTCCCCCACGTTTCCCATTGCATCCTACCTTGCCATTGCCCTGCGCTTTCCTCCAGGCAACGGTATCCCCTCCGAGCCTTCGCACACAGGGGCAGCTGACCCGCTGGTCTCAGCTGCCCCATCCTCTGCCTCGCTGCCAGACACAACGCTGAAGGCAGGCAAGTTAGACATGGTGATCCTTGTATCCACGGCAGAGCGCCGCTGTAGATACTACACAGGGAGCAATTCCCTGTCCCAGCTTCTCCTGGGCGTCAGTGTCATCTACAGCCCTGCCCTGCCTCATGGCCAGGCTCCACGGTGACAGCAGAGGCTAACCCCATGCTCCAAAGTCTTGGAGCGAAGTGTCCGAGAGGTTCGTGTCGATGGCTGTAACCTTTGTTATCTTCAGGGAACTTTTGGGAGGAGGGGAAAGATCTTCAGCTTTGCAAGGCAGACTTTGTAATTATTAACTCCCAAGGCCTGGCTGGCAGGAACGGAGGGTCCTCAGATTAGAAAGCTAGAACTTCTAAGATCCAACAAAGGCAGGAAGAAAGAGAAGTGATAATGCAGACAGGAAGCATTAAAAGAGGATGTGTTGGGGATGCTGAACCCCAGCCGCTTGCAAAAATAACAGGTCGCAAGGTGAGAGTGGCATGTGCTCCCTCTCGCTCCCAGCCCCAAAGGAGAGGCAGAGCTATTGAGGAAGCCTGGACAGACCCTGAGATTTCTCCATAACCAGATGAATGGGCTGGCCCAGCAAAGCAAAACTCAGCACAAATCACTCCCAAGCTGAGGGTTATCATGCAAGCTGCCTTGAGGCAGGAAAAGCTGCTGCCTTCTCCATGCCCTTTGCACAAGGCTAGCTGTCCTCCAGGCAGTGTTGTGAAGTGTCCCAAAGTGTCCAGCCCAGCAGCTGGTGAGACACAGACCCAGCTCCCACTTCTGGTTTAAAGAGACAACAAACCACCAGACAACCTTAAAGTCTAGTGCAGTTGGAAGCTCTAACCCAGCACCCTCATCTCACACCATGGAAGTACCTTGCTCTCTCCCACATTATTTCCCATTTACATTTCATGGAAGCTGAAAAAATCACTGACCTCTGGGTAATGAAGTGTCATAAAATCCACTTTGCCTCCTGCAAGTCTCCCAGTGTGGCACATACCTGTTGTGAAGGCCCTGACATGGTACCTCCCCACTGCCACAGGCATTTTTAGTCACCTTTTTTCCCCATATCTTCCCCAGTTCCACTGCCTCTGGTCTGTCACTTGTACCCACTCACCCCTCTGGTTCTCACATCCCTCCTGCAGATCCACTTTGCCAAGCTACTGACCTCCCTGACTCCTCACCTTTTGTTTCTCATCCTCCCATCTCCTCCAGGCAAAGAAGCATCTTGCTAATGCTTTCTATGACCTCTTGAGAGTCAGGTCCCCTCAGGTCCCTTGCTCCCCACAGCTCTTTCACAAAGGAAAGGACCCCCCCAAGCCTTCCTCTGGGTTTCTCAGATGCAGGGATACACTTGTGGCACCCCACTGGGTCCTCTGACCCACCGGTGACATCCTCTCAGCCCAGGCTACATGGAGGCAGACACTAATGCACATGTACTGAGCAACTGGGGAACCACCAGAGCAAAGCAGGTGTTCCCTTTTGGTGGGATCTGTTTCTGGTGGTCCTAACTGCCTCCTGTAGACAGCAAGTTCTCTGCCTCCATATCATCCTGATCCTTCATATTCCCTCCCGGAGTGCCCACACCTTCCTCTGAATGGGTCACAAATGAAGAGCAGGACTCAAAATCCTGAGTTTGGGTCAAACAAAGTGCAAGACCAACCTGCAGAGCAAAAGCAGCTCTCAGCTAGGACACCCTGCCCAGTACAGATGCTTCCCAGTCACGGGAGAGGGCTGAAGCCTCCTCTGGGTTGCCTTGTCTGCTCATGGATTCAGATCCTACTACAATTTAAAAAAAAAAACCAAACAAAAAAAACCCCAAACCAGACACAGGCTGGGAAGGGAAGGAGAAACAGGGATTATCTTAGAGCTTGGAAAGCAGGACTACACCCCTGACCCAGCAAACCCAGACCGGATGTTATTGCCATGAAAATGAGAATGAAAACAAATGGCCTGAAACTCCAGGCTTCATCCACCCACTCGCTCCCCTCCCTCTCGCCTGTCTCAGCCAGCTGTGCGGCATGTTTTCTCAACTGCCTGGAAAGGCTTCAGCAACGGCCCTCTGGGATCTCTGGGTCTAAGATCTCCGATTTCATGGAGATTGATCACCCAAGAAAGTGCAGCCCCTGTTCCAGGGCAACAGGATTGAAAAGAAAAGACTGAAAAAGTATAATGCTCAGCTCCTGACTGAGAGATGGAAGAGCAGAGCTGGGGACTAGCCTGGGGCAGCAGTGCTGTATTGCTCAAATGGATGCTGCTAAGAGAAGTCACATCGTGGCACTGAGCAGAGACACACCAGAGACACTGCTGGTCCTGCTGGTCCTCAGCTGCAGACAGCTGACAGAGAGCAACCTCACGCTCGGCAGCATCATTCAAAGGAAGGGTTCAGCCTGAACCCAGGGGAAGAGACACCAGATGGAAAAGGAGGAAGAGAAGCTGGGAAACCCAGAGAGAAAGGAGGACTGTCCCTCAGCTTTTTAGGAAGGTCTGTCTTTCTGCTGGCTGATTTGGTCACTGTTTATCCAACCAGAAACTTCTCAGTCCTGCATCCTTCCCACAACATCTGCAAGGAGGCAGCAGGCAGTCCCTAGAAATGACGTGCAGGACCAACACATTTGGTCCTCCCTTTGGAATGTAATCCCCCATCGTGGTGGCTAAGGCAGGAAAAGGGGGACCTCACTAAGGACTCTCCCCTCCTTTTCATGTCTGTAGAAACCAAACTGTGCAACACCAGAGGAAGAGGGGGTGATTTGTCCCCCTCCAGGCCCCTGAAAAATAAAATGCAGAGGGTCAGACAGAGATTGGCACTCGGATTTGCAGGGAGATACAGAGCTTGGCACTGAAACCACAAAGCAATAGAGAGATGTCGTGCTGGTATACTGCTGGTCTCTCCTGGGCAAAGACATACCTATAAGTGTCAGGCAGTGATGGCAAAAAAAGGCTATGAGGTACAGTCAGTCTGTCCACGTACTGAGCATTTGTCCAGGATTCCCAGACATCTTGCAACTTGGTCCGTGCCATCCCAAATGCCTGCTTATACACACATATGCCAACTCCGCCTCACA